GAAAGAAAGAAAGAAAGAAAGAAAGAAAGAAAGAAAGAAAGAAAGAAGACATAAACAAGACTCTCTATTTGTAGTACCTAGTTTGGATTAGTTTACACTACTATCTTCTAAGGTGTTTTACCTGGAACCATGCAACATAAAATTACTTTAAGTGCTTCCAACTGTACCGATGGCAAGTTTTTGTGTTTCTTCATAGTTTTCATACATCCAGATGCAGCAGCGATCATGATATCCAACTGTAAGAAACTGGAACATAAATCACGGAAATGCTAAAATACCAACTACTTGGTAACCTATTCGTTTATTAGAACATAGAATCATAAGCCAGAAGGGCCTTGGAGGTCTTCTAGTCCAACCCCTTTGCTCAGGACAGGAGACCTTATTCCAAGCTGGTCAAACCGTTGTTCACTCTATTTTTGAAAACCTCTAGCAATGGAGCACCCACACGATCTGGAGGCACACTGATTGATTGGGCCTCCGTGTCAATTAATTGTTCTCACTGTTAGGAGATTTCCCCTTATTTCTAGGTGGGATCTCTCAGGTGCTTTGAAGAACAAGTCAACCCTCTCTTCTCTGTGATAGCTTCTCAGGTGTTGGAATACAGCTATCCTCTCACTCCTAATTCTCCTCTTTGTTAGACTAGACATATCTAGCTCCCTCAACTGTTTGTCCTACAATTTAGCCTCCAGTCCCACTTAGCATCTTTGTTGTGCTTCTGTAATGACCCAGGGTGGGATACAAAATAAGTACAGTCACAAAAGAACAGGTGTATCCCCTTTTATTCCTTCACTTCACTTCCAAGCTCCAAATATCCTTGATGGAGACAAAAAACTCTCACACAAGCAGTTACAAGGAGGAGGAAATTCCGTTTAAATTATAAAGAGTAAAAAAAACCACACAAACCAGGCAAGATAAGGGCTGGAAGATGTCCACATATATCAGAACACACACTGGAAAGGATGCCAAACTCAGAGAGGAACAATAAACTAGAGATATTTCCATGCTTTGTTTCCAGCACTTGCCCGTATGCATGTCCGTCCTCTTATCCAGTTGTCACAGCTGCAGCCCATGAAGAGGACCAAGGTTCTCTCCTCCTGAATAGACCACATCTCTCCCTTATCCTCTCCTCCCTGCGTGCCCTAGGATGGAGATAGGATGGGCCTGGTTCTTCCTCTGACTGCCCAGCTGGCCTCTGCCCTTCCCCAGCCTTCTCCACAACCTTCTGAATCACACTTCCACTCCCTGTCAGCTGTTCTTCCTCTCCCTCAGAGTCAGTCTCCACCAGAGGCATGACAGCTTCTCTGAACACTTTCCGGGACCTCAGCATCTAGGACTTGACAGCTTTTAAGACTTGTGGACTTCAACTCCCAGAATTCCTCCCCCAGTCAGGAATTCTGGGAGTTGAAGTCCCCAAGTCTTTAATTTCCCAAGTTTGAAGACTCTTGATCTAGGACAAGGGTGTCAAACTCAAGGCCCATGGGCCGGATCTGGCCCATGAGGTACTTAAATCTGGCTCATGGGACCGGTGTGGAAATAGCAAAGGACCGGTCCACGGTGCCTCTGGCAGCCAAAATAGGGCATGGGAGGCCGCATGTGCCAGTGGTGGGTTTCAAACTTTTTACTACTTTTGTGGGCGTGGCATGGCTTGATGGGCATGGCCAGTGGTGGGATTCAAATTTTTACTACCTGTTCTGTGGGCGTGGCTTGGTGGGCATGTCATGGCTTGGTGGGCGTGGCATGGCTTGGTGGGGGTGGTGGGATTAAAAAATTTTTATTATCGGTTCGGTGGACATGGCATGGCTTGGTGGGCGTGGCCAGTGGTGGGATTCACATTTTTTTACTACCTCTTCTGTGGGCGTAGCTTGGTGGGCGTGGCAGGGGAAGGATACTGTAAAATCTCCAGTCAGAGGTGGGATTTGCCGGTTCTCCGAACTACTCAAAATTTCCGCTACCGGTTCTCCAGAACTGGTCAGAACCTGCTAAAGGCCACCTCTGCGTAAAACCGAGCACGTAGCCAGAGAGGTCTTAATTTTAGGGACGTGGAACGATCCCTGAAGAAACACAAAGCCAGGGAAGGATCAACCCAGAGGATTGCTGATTTGGGATCGAGTTGTTCAGAGTTCAGGTTTCGTTACCTTCCTTCGAAAGCACAGTTCAGCAATCGGCAAGCACTTTCTGCAATTTCAGGGGAATCTGAATGTTTTCTCATGATCTCCAGCACGTTCATGTGTATCCCTTTGGCCAAGAGAATTTCTCGAGAATGTGCTACAGTAAGACAAAAAGAAAGAAATGATATAGACTAAATGCAACGCACCTAACTTTTAGAATGTCCCAAAGGTGCTTTTTTCAAGAGGCAACTGGGCTTTCGTGTTTTTCTTTGAAGACATTTTGCTTCTCCTCCAAGAAGCTTCTTCATCTCTGACAGGATGGTGAGGAACGAAAGGATTTATATTCCTTGCATACAGCTGATCGTTTGCATCCTTTTAGAGGGTCATTGGAGCCACCTGGAGGTTTGACTGTGTCCTCAGGGTCACCTGAGTAGTGCAAATGGTTCCTATAGTCTGCAATTTTTTTTTCTTTGGAAATCCATTCCTACTCCCACATTCATCCCAAATTGTATCACTAAAGGTCTGTAGAGATTCTCAGTCCTCTAGATCATAGTTGTCCCGAAAGTGCTTTTTCAGGAGGCAACTGGACTCTGGTTTTTTTCTTTTGAAGATGTTTCACTTCTCATTCGAGAAGCTTAACCAATTTCGTTGTATACATGATGTACAATGACAATAAAGGCTTTGAACTCCTTCAGCTCTGACTGAATGGTGGGGGAATGGAAGGATTTATATTCCTTTATAGACAGCTGGTCATTTGCATCCTTTTAGAAAGTCGTTGAGGCGACCCTGAGGACACAGATAAACCTCCAAGTGGCCTCAACATATTAAGGACTGGTTTTGCAATGCCATCCTTCCCAGTGGTGGGATTCTAATTGTTTTACTACCAGTTCTGTGGCCGTGCCTTGGTAGGCACGGCAGGGGAAGGATACTGTAAAATCTCTAGTCAGAGGTGGTATTTGCCGGTTCTCCAAACTACTCAAAATTTCCGCTACCGGTTCTCCAGAACTGGTCAGAACCTGCTGAATACTACCTCTGAGCCTTCCCCGCTTAGAGGCATTATTAAATTTTTATTTACCATTTTGCTTTGCCAGAGTAGCTAAGGCATTGGCCGCAGCCTGGAATACTTCTTTGGAGGAAGAATAATACATCAACATGGCGAGCATCATCTCTCTGTGGGCTGGGTATCTAAGACGAAGAGAACAATCGGGTTATGTCCCTGGAAACTACCCATGATGCAGTTATTTGAATAGGAATGAAAACTAATATAAAAATAACTTTAAAAGCTAGGTTACCACAGGTAGTCCTCAACTTTACAACAGTCCACTCAGTGACAACGGCGCTGGAAAATGTGACTTAGGACCGTTTTTCACAGTTACAACCTTTGCAGTGTTCACATGGTCACTAAACGAGAACTACAGGTAGTCCTCAACCTGCAGCCGCTTAAAAGTATCAATTATGACTGTTTTTTACACTTAACAACTGTTACAATAGCCCCATGGCCATGTGATCAATACCCACTTTAACAACTGTCTCGCTTAGTGACAAAATTTGAGGGCTCCATTGCGGTCCTGTGCTGAGGACTCCCTTTGAAGAGGCGATCTGATGTATAAAAGTGAGTTTTCCGTGCTTTTCCCAATATTAATACTTAAGGGTCCCGCCACAAAATGTGATCCACAACACAAAGGGAATATGCTTCCCTCCCTTAGTAATATTGTTCATCTTACGTTAGGGGTCTCAAACTCGATTTCATTGAGGACCGTATCAGGGTTGTGTCTGACCTTAGGGGGGCATGGGGGCATGGCCAGGGGGCATGGCCATTTGACAACACTCGTGTCAGGGGTGCCTGTGGTGGACCAAGTGCTCTGCTAGCGAAAAATGGGCTCCTGAGCTCTGTTTCTGGTTGCGACGGCTTTCTGCAACTCGCTGCCAGTGAAAACAGAGCTTGGGAGGGTCACCCGTGGCCCTCCTGAGCTCTGTTTTCACTGGCAGAGGCCCAGGGGCCCCCATTTTCAGGACACCACAGCGGGCCAGTTTGAAGGACCCGGCTGGCCAGATCACCCGTGGGCCTTGAGTTTAACACCCTTGTCTTAAGTGAATAGGATAGAATTTTTTATTGGCCAAGTGTGATTGGACAACAACATTCTTAATTAATACATTTTTTATTAACATATAAATAAAAAGAAAGCGCAACTTGTTCAAAATCCATATATACAGTGTGTTGCCTGGTTACATTTCTTGGAGTAATATTCGTCATCATCATGATAATAGTCTTCTCTAATGATAATTTCATGATAACAGTGCTTTTCCCTCATAACATCGATACAGTCAACTCATAAAACATTTTGTATACACGTTTTATAGTTGACAACAGAAAGAAGGGGGGAGTTTCAAAGAGCAGGCAGCAGTGTGGAATTGAAAGTACATTCCATTCATATTTCTTCAAAGACTGATTAGATGACTGAAGCTTCTGCCGCACAAAAATCTAATTGGAGAGCATGATTAATGACTCTTGGCTATGGACGTGTTTCGTTGGATGATACACCCCAAGGGGTGGGGGGGAAAAGCAGGATCAAGGGTGACAGTGAATTACATATCTCAGAGTTGGCTACACCCAGGTAAATTCCGGAGGTAGAATGTTACCTTCAAATAAATCTTTTTTAGTTTTGGGAGTATGGCTCAAGACTCATGATTTAATTGGAGTAACTGCCGGAATCCTGACAGATAGCCAACTCTGAAATACGTAATTCACTGTCACCCTTGTTTAGAAAAAGTAATCAAAATTAATCACAATTAATAAGTTACAATAAACAACCCTGATTGTGAGATTGATCTTTCTCTTGTAATCTTTGAATTTACAACTTCCATTTCTCTTGTTTAACTGATGGAACAGAATATTAATAAAATACCTCAAAATGTTCAGTGTCTTTCTTTTCTTTAATTTCAAATGTTAGTTTATTCATTTTTGCACATTCCAAAATTTTTGTTATTATCTTTTCTTTTGCAGGGATCTCCTCACCCTTCCAATATTGTGCGAATAGAATTCTTTATTGGCCAAGTGTGATTGGACAAGAACATTCTATGTTGTGCTTTTCTGATGACATTTGATTGATGTTAGGTGTCCATTTTAAATTTTGAGCTATTATAGAACCTAGAAAAGTGAACCTCTCTACTTCTACGTGGGAAAGAAAAATGTAAAATAAAACTATTTACAGCTGACGAAGGTATTGCAAAAGGTTTGCACTCAAGCCACTAACTTTTTATCTTCGTCTCCAATCTTCTCATTAAGAGTAGGCTGATACATAAGGAGATTGTTCAAAGCCCAGCAAGCAGCTTCCTAAATGGACAGAATAAAAAGTATTTATTTGGCCAGCACTTCCTAATTTCAGAGCATTACTAATCACAAGCCCCGGCATGACTTATGCAAAATAAAAAAGGCTTCAAAACCTGTACAAAGTTTTATTTTTCAAAAAAAATAAAATAAAATAAAACCAAGACCATTTTAACATTAAATCATGTACAGAAATGAAAAACCTGATGGATTCTCAGAAACACAGGTAGTCCTCAACTTGCAATAGTTCATTTAGTGACTGTTCAAAGTTACAACAGCACCAAAAAAAGGGAGTTATGACCCGTTTTTCACACTTAACGACCTTTTGCAGCATCCCTATGATCAGGTGATCAAAATTCACAACTGGTTTATACTTACGACCGTTACTGTGTCCCAAGGTCATATGGTCACATTTTGTGACCTTCTGGCAAGCAAAAATGAATGGGGAAGTCAGATTCACTTAACAACGGTGCTAAAATGGGACAAAACTCATTTAACAAAAGTCTTGCTAAGCAATGGACAGTTTGGGCTCAACTATGATCGTAAGTCAAGGACTAAAATTTTAATTTTTTGCTTCAAGCTTCTCCACGGAAATAACTGATATCTATTTCTAGTTAAAATGGGTATTTTGGGGGGAAGTTTGTATTTTAAGAATGACATAAAATAAAATTAGCACCGACAGCTTCTTTTCCTACACAAAATTTAACTTGTATTTGATGCCCTAGTCCCGTGTGGCGAACCTATGGAACACATTCCCCCCGGTATGCGTCGCCCAGAAGAGCCCCACTGCGCATGCACCGTCGCCACCCGACAGCTGATTGTTGGGTATCTGATGTGCGTGCACAGGGGGCATAGGGGGTTGCATGGGAAATGCGCACCCATGCACAAAGACATGCAGTGCACAGGGGTGTCTCGCATGCATGCGCAGAGGTGTGCGGCGTGCGAGGGGATTGCATGCAGGTGCATGACACGTGAGGGGGTTGCGTGCACATGCGCAGGGGGCATGGGAGGGTGCCAGCACTCACTGACTTCTGGGTGCTGGCATAGGAGCGCACGCAAGCAAGCGGGCCATGCAATTATTGCTACCAGGGGTGGGATTCTACCAGTTCGCACCTATTTGCTAGAACCAGTTGTTAACATTCTAAGCAGTTCAGAACAACCAGTTGTTAGAAGAAATTACTTGTCTAATCCTGTAAGGAAGGCAGGAAGGAAACATTCTGGTGTTGCTTATAGAAACTGCCTCTCAGTTAACCCTTACTACATTCTTGGCAGGACTAGTCTTCCTGTCTCAAGAACTTCTCTGGAGTTTTTTTCCTCTCCTTTGCTGGTACTTTGCTTGTGTGGAGTGACCATTCAAAGTTACAATGGCACTGAAAAAAGTGACTTATGACCATTTTTCACACTTACGACTGTTGCTACATCCCCACAGTCATGAGAGGCCAGGTGAGGAGATGCGTATCTCGATGTTAGTGATATTGAGTTGGCCACGCCCAGCCAATAACGTGACCACCAAGCCATTTCCACCCAGTCACATGACCACCAAGCCACACCTACCAACTAAGCCACGCCCAAAGAACCAGTTGTTAAAAAATTTGAATCCCACCCCTGTTGGCACGGAAGCCGAAAAAGGTTAGTCCCCACTGCCCTAGTCCATGTTTTTAGCGTTTTTACCTGTATGTCTCTATTTCTTCTGTGATATTTTAATGCTTTATAGCAGGCCTCCAGCCAATATAATTTTTCTTCTTCCTCCTCCTCTTTCTCCCCCTCCTCTTCCTTTTTTTCTTCCAAATCTCTGTTTAAAAAGATGGTTTCCGCTTTGGGAGAAAAATGATCCATTTATTGAACTTCGCAAACCCGACCATCTCGTTTAATTTTCACAGCAACAAGGTGAGCCAAGTAAAGAAACAACCAACTTCACTCACAAATGGCTCGATTTATTTCTGAACCAAGATACTCATGGCCAGCAAAACAAAAAAGAAAAGAAAAAACCAGACCAAAAAAAAAAAAGCATTTTAACAGTTGGACTTAAGTTACTCTTAAAATTCTAAATTGATTTTTCTGAAAGTAAAAAACATTCCCTTAGGGCAAACAGGATGTTGCATAATTAAACTGCAGCACTAAATTACAGTTTGATGCCTTGGTTACAACGCTATTAGTTTTAGCTCTGGCATTCCAGCAATCAAATTTATTTTACTTTTCAATCAGAATGAAAAACAAACTCAGAAACATCCAGGCTCTGTACCGTGTTTCTCCAACAATACCCCCCCCACAATAGGAAGACCCAGCATGTTTTCTAGGTATAAAATGAAATTAAGCCCCTCCCCCCAAATTTAAGCCTAGTTTCAAACATGCGAAATTGGGGGGGAGGCAGGGGGGAACTTGTCATTAGGAGTGCCCCGCGGGCAGCTACACCTCACCATCAGCCACTCCTAACACCATGGTGGAGCACGGAGGGCTCCCTTACCCCTCCCTTACCCAGGTCAGTAGGCGGGCGGCATAGGCGTGGATGTCCGGCAGGGTTTCAGCCACTTCTCAGGCCTCTGTAGCTTCCACGGTTCCCATTGGTGCTGGTGCCTCTCTCGTCCGCGCTGTCTCCAACAACAGCGTCTGAGTCGCTCCCGCTTTTCCCCCGTCCCCGTAACAACAGGGAAAAAAAAAAGATTTTGAGGTACCTGGGAGTGCCGCGTGCTGCGTTTTGGTTTAATCCCGAGCGGCTGGGTGAGAAGAGCCGAGCGAGCGTCTCTGCTGCTGCTACCCTTGGTGCTCCATCCTCAGGCTGTGCAAGTTTGCAAAAGTCCTGGCGCGCAGCCTGTTCCTGCATTCCAAGTGCCCAGGCCGAGCTGCAGCTGTCCCTCTCTCACCAGCGCCATCTCCAATAACAGTGGCAGCAGCGGGGGGAACTGTGGAAACGTTTCAGCCGCTTCTCGGATGAGGGAGCTGCCTCCGTAACTTCCATGGTTCCCGCCGCTGCAGCCGCTGTTGTTGGAGACAGCGCTGGCGAGAGAGGAACAACTGCAGCTCAGCCTGGGCGCTTGGAATGCAGGAATGGGCTGCACACCAGGACTTTTGCAAACTTGCAGAGCCCGAGGCTGGAGCACCAAGAGTAGCAGCAGCAGAGACGCTCACTCGGCTCTTCTCACGCCCACCCAGCTGCTCGGGATTAAACCAAAACACAGCGCGCAGCGCTCCCAGGTACCTCAAAATCTTTTTTTTCCTGTTGTTATGGGGACGGCGGAAAAGCGGGAGCGACTCAGACGCTGTTGTTGGAGACAGCGCTGGTGTGCGGAGGGGGAAAGAAATTAATTCACCCCCGAAAAGACGTCCTAGCCGTTTTTTCGGGGCTCAAAAAAAAAAATAAGGCCTGGCCTTATTTTGTGAGAAACACGGTACTAAGAGAGGTTCCAGTTCAGTGTGAGGATCATTATCCTGACTTTAAACAAATACAGGTAGTCCTCAGCTTACGATGGTTCAATCAGCGACCATTCGAATTACAACAGCATTGGGAAAAAATTGATTTTTCATGCTTAAAGACCGTTGCAGCATTTCAGATAACAGATAATCAGAGTTGGAAGTGACTTTATAGGTCATTTAGTCCAACCCCCTGCCCAAGCGGGAGACCCTACACCATTTCTGACAAATGGCAGTCCAATCTCTTCTTGAAAGTCTCAAGTGATGGTGCTCCCACAACTTCCGAGGGCAACTTCTGTTCCATGGGTTGATTGTTCTCACTGTCAGAAAGTTTCTCCTTATTTCCAGGTTGAATCTCACGTTCAGGTGCCTCCGATCCTGACGGATTTGGAGGCTAAGGCTGCCCTGTTGGGGCAGCTGAAGAAAGGGGGGATTCGGACGGGGGTGAGGGGCGTCGCAACCCCCCCCCCAGCCGGCAATAACCCCCTTCTCTCAAGACGGTGCAGCGGTGGTCTTTTATGGCCACCATAAAGAAGCCGGCAACTGGATAAAGAATGCGCAGGAGGAAGAAGGAGTTTTTTTTTTTTAAAGAAAGATTTTTCTTGGTCGAACTGGGACCTTAAGGATATATTTAACACCTGGGAAAGTAATGACTTGGAAGCCATAATGTTCCCGATTGATGTTTTCAGCTGCGAAGAAAAGTGACGAAAAGGGGAAGTCACTCTCCCTCCCTTATGGAATTAACAAATGGACAAGGGAAACTAGCCCTTTGGTAGAAGGTAAAACCTAAACTCCTTTGTTATAAGTGGGAAGGGAGAGGCTTGGGAAAACAAATCTTTACTCTAAGATTTTGCTGGAGGAGATGCCTTGAAGATAAAGAGAATAGAAATTAATTCTAAGAAAGATTTAAAGCACAGATTGGACGTTTCTTCTTTCCCTAATTTGACTTCACTCCTAGAAGAGAAACTGTAAAAAGAAGAAGCTTGTACTCTGCCTGGACTGTTTGATGACTGTGGGACTTTGGGACTTTTGGGAACTGTTTTAAGTTTGGAAATAATTGATTGGCTTAACAATAAGAAGAGGATACAGAAAGAGAAGAAGAAACAGTTCAAAATGGCTCTATCTCTTGATGAATTAAAAAAACAATATTTTAAAATAAAGAAAGAAGGCAAAGATGTTATGGGAGAAGCCCTTTGTTTTCTAGATATGGCGCTTCTCATGTGTCAGCAAATTAAACAACAGCTGGAAGAAGCCGAGGAAGAAGAAGCCATTTTTAATGAACTAAACGGTGTGACTAAGAAAGAAAGGAGAAAGAGAGGAGCGAAAAGGAAGGACTTAAGAACTAAAAAAATGTTTATGAAAGAGAAAAAGAAGATGCAAAAACAACAGAATGCTAGAAAGCAAAAGGAAAGAGGAATGCAACAGAAAGGGGAAATCAAGAAGGCAGAGGTTTGGAGAGGAGGGGGTAAAAAGTTTAGGCGGGCTAAGAAGGAAAGGGAAAAGGGGGAAAAAAGTTACAAAGATATAAGACAAGATGGAGAAAAGGAAATTTTTTTTAGGGATAATGGGTAATATATGGGATTTTTTTTTTAAAAAAAAGGGGGATTCTGCAAAGTACACATGAGTATTGTAATAGTGGTATTTGTATTATAAGTAGATAATCAGAACTTTTTAAGATCTAATAAAAGACTAAAATATCAAGACATAACTTTAAAAGGTTTAATAATGAATGATAATAAGTTTTAATAAAATACTAAAGGGAATGTTTAAAATATTAGTTTGAATATAGAGTTTAATGGATTAATGTGTTGATTGTTATGGATTTATTATTGTAGTATTGGTTTTTGAAATAGTAGAATGTACTAAGCAGAATCTGATTGGGATTTAGGTGTTATTTTAAACTTTAATTTAGGGGAATGGTAGAAAGGCATCATACTCCGATTAGTGATTCCAGGGGAAACTATTGTTTCTTAAATTGGAAATGAGACAGATGTAAATGGAGAAATGGACAAAAGATATAAAAATATTTTTCTTTAAAGCAAGATTAAATATATAAAACAGAATTAAGATGAGGCAAAAGTGGAGAGGAGTTATATAATAGATATAGAATGGTAAATAAGATGGGTAATGGTATATAAGAAGAGCATGAATTCAATTGAAGTCCATACAAAAAGAGGTAATCTGGGGCCAAGTTACTTTCTAGAAGAAAGTTTTATGTTTTTATGTCTATGTCTTATGTGTGTGTGTTTAATTAAGAATTAAATAATAAAATCTTGGAGGAAGACTAGATGAGAATAATTATAAACAAGCCAGAGGAAAATATAAATTTGATGACTGAATAGCAGATAAATCAGAAAGGAAATATGATTGAATAATGATTAAAGAGAAACAATGTGGAATTTGGTAAAGGTAATTTACGTGTTTATATGGAAATGGGATAAATTATAAGTACGTGATATAAAGCAATATGTTACCTGCCTTGTAAAGATCTACAATGGAAAGAGGTTTTATGTTTTTAATGTTTAATGATGTTTTGTTTTGTTTGTTTGTTTGTTTGTAAAATCAATAAAACTTGTTTAAAAAAAAAAGAAATTAGCTTGACCCCCTCTTCCTCTCTGTGGCAGCCCCTCAAATATTGGAAGACTGCTATCCTATCTCCCCTGATCCTTCTCTCCACTAGACTAGCTAAGCCCAGTTCCTGTAACCATTCTTCGTATGCCTTAGTCTCCAGTCCCTTAATTATCCTGGTTGCTCTTCTCTGCACTTTTTCTAGAATCTCAACATCTTTTTTTATAGTGTGGTGACCAAAACTGGATGCAGTACTCTAGGTGTGGTCTTACTAAGGCTTTATACAGTGGTATTACTACCTCCCTTGATCTTGATTGTATCCCTCAGCTAATACAACTTAGGATTGCATTGGCTTTTTTGGCTGCTGCTGCACACGGCTGGCTCCTAGTTAGCTGGTTGTCCACGAAGACTCCAAGATCCCTCTCACAGTGTCTGCTATTGAGCCTGGTTTCACCCAGTCTATATGTGTCCTTTTGATTTTTCTTGCCTCAGTGTAGGACTTTACTTTTCTCTACATTGAATTTCATTTTGTTAGATATGGCCCAGTGTTCTAGTCTCTCAATATCCATCTGGAATGGATCTCCATCAAAATTTGGGCACTTGGCAACCAATTCACATTTATGATGGTCGCAGTGTCCCATGTGTGCGTATGTGTGTGTGTCACGTGATGCCCTTTGGTGACCTTCTGGCAAGCAAAACCAACAGGGAAGCCTGATTTGCTTAAGGACCGTGCTCCTAACTGCAGGGATTCACTTAACAACAGTGGCCAGAAAGATCATAAAACGGGGCAAAAGGTCTCCATTGACAACAGAAATGTTGAGCTCGATTGTGGTCGTAAGTTGAGAACGATCTGTACATAACGGTGATATTTGTTTTTTTAAAAAATGACTGGCAATATAAACTGTCAGCTAGATGGGTTGGAAATACAATTTTAAGATTTCCTCGCTTAGAGGGAACTGAAAAAGTTACAAACCAATATTTGGTGGGTTGCAGAAAGAGGGAAGTTTAAACGTTTCCCTTTTAGCAGATGGTGTCTAGATTTATTTGCAGGTTCATATATAAAAAAAATAAAATAAAAGGCCTGAGGGGGTACATTCATCTGGGGAATTTAATTTTCTTTCATTTCGTTACTTACTGAGGAGAGCCAAGCAGCTGAGGCCTGCTGCTTGTAGTTTCTCATTTTCAGGGTACGTTTCCACCGCCGTCACGATCACTTTGTGCACAGAATTCAACACGAGGATATTGAAAAAGTTTTCTGTGGGAGATTTAAAAAACAAAATGTACTGGAGCCGACGTGTAAACCAGAAAGTTACCTGACACAGAGTTGGCAAAGACTCATGATGAAGATTTCCCCCCCACCCAAGCTGAAAACTATTCTCAAAGCATGTTTCTGCAAAACATGAGGCGACATGGTTTGCAATAATTAAGAATGGCAACTAAGGGGAAGGGGGAAAAAATCATCTAGGAGAAAATATCAAGCAAGGTGAATTTCCTTCACACCATAATTTTTTTAATCACGTTCAGTCCTTACAGGAAGTAGTCCATATATCCTTACAATTTATATTGACTGTTTCCTAGCATGATTTGATTGTTTATTGTCCCTTATGACTATTATTAAGTGTTGTACCTGATGATTATTGACTCTTGACAAATGTATCTTAGTAGGTAGGTAGGTTGGAGCGAGAGAGAGATGATGGAGGATGGATGGATAGGTAGGTAGGTTGAAGTGAGAGAGAGAGAGATGGATGGATGGATGGATGGATGGATGGATGGAAGGATGGATCAATAAATAAATAGGTAGATAGTAGATAGGTAGGATAAATAGATAATAGACAATAGAGATGGATGGATGGATGGGTGAATAGTTAGGTAGGTAGGTTGGGGCAAGAGAGAGATGATGGAGGATGGATGGATAGGTAGGTAGGTAAATAATGGTTTAGAAAGAAGCTTTATTAAGTGTACAGAGTTCCCCTGCAGTTCCTTTTGCATTCTTCTCTCCCCTTTCGTTCAGAACTCACCCAGAGTAAGTTTGTGTAGCAGGCAGCAGCTGACTTCCTGAATTGGCTCACATGCAGGGAATGCTTTCATAATCTCCACTATGATATTGTAACACCGCACACTTCCAGACATGAGAACTTCCGCATTACTAACTAAAAACAGCATAAAAAGGAAATTTGAGTAAGAAAAAACATTTATCCCATTTCTGCATGCCGGTGTTTTAAAATTTAAAATTATCATTAACAATTCAACAACTTTTTCATAAATTCATCGATGGCCAATTTATAATGCCAGCACAAGGAGGACTATGACTGACCCATGGCTCCGTTCCCCCAGCAGGACCTTCTGATAAGACAACCCTATTTACCTGGTCCAGCCAAGATGTACAACGACCGAAGGGCAAAGCCAATGACATTTTCCTTCTCGGGGAATTTTTTAAGGACTTTGAGGATGATCAAGTGATCGTTCTCCTCGACAAATTCAATCAGCTGCTCCTCGGGAACTGCATGACGAGACAAAGGCACCAACCAAGTCAAGACCTCATTTTGATAATGGAATGAACGTGATTCAATATTCAGAACGTAGAAGTGTATATAAGCAGGGGTGGGCTTCAAAAAATTTAGCAACGGTTCTCTGCCTGCTTGCTGGGTGGCCGTGGCCATGGTGGGTGTGGCCTAGTCGGTCTCATGCACCACGACGGGGAAGGGCGTTTTCACCCTCCCTGGGTTCTGGAGGCTTTCCTCAAGCCTCTGGGAGGGTGAAAACGGCCTCCCGGGCTCCGGAGGCCCTCTGGAGGCCAGAAATAAGCCCGTTTCTGACCTTCCGGACCTTCCAGGAGGCCCATTTTTTTTGTCCCCCCCCCCCGAGCCTCCACGCATGCCCTACACTACCTGGGATCCAAAACAGGCCACTTGAAGACTCCTGGAAAGGGAGTGGTGAGGTGGGCGGGGACAGCAAGTCATTGTAATAGTAAACCAGATATAAAATTAACAACCGGTTTGCTTGAACCAGTGCTAACTGGTCACGGCCCACCCCGAGTATAAGGCAAAGATCTCCTCTCTGCCATCTATATTCTCTCTTGAACAAGAGACAGGTGAGGGGTGAACTAATGGGAGTCTTTTGAGGTTTAAAGAGGAGAGGAGAAACACAATTCTAGATCGCTTGTATCGGTAAGTCCTTGACGTACGACCACAATGGAGCCCAAAACTTCTGTTGCTAAGCAAGACAATTGTTAAGTGAGTCTTGCCCCATTTTACGAACTTTCTTGCCAACGTCGTTCAGTAACTTGTTAAGTTAGCAACCCGGTTGTTGAGTGAATCAGGCTTCCCCATTGACTTGGCGTATCAGAAGGTTGCAAAAGGGAATCACGTAACCCTGGGACAACGCAACTGTCATAAATAGGATTCAGCGGCCAAGCATCTTAATTTTGAACGTGTGACTCCCAGGGGATATTGCAATAGACTTATGTGTGAATAACGGTCCTAAGTCAATTTTTTTCAGAGCCGTTGTTACTTTGAACGGCTACTAAATGAGCTGTTGTAAAGGACTGCCTGTATTGTGGTGTGCTTTAAGTATCCGAGAGCTGAAACCTGGGCATAGATTAATATGGTCAGCCATTATCCAAAAGTGATTTATTTTCCCCTTTCCATCAGGCCTAACTCAATACCGGTTGATAAGTTTACATCAAAACTGTGAGATTAAATAAAAGTTTCTCTCCTTTCTGCTGTTTCTCAGCCATGTTTGTTGTGGCCCGCCAGCAGCCAGCAGAGCTGGCAGCAAACTCGGAGAGTGAGGAGGTTGGGGAGGAACATGAGCCAGTCCCGGAGTCTGGGGAGGGCTGTGACGAGGGCTCTGCATCAGAAGCAGAGACAGGGCCAGGGCCGTCCAACAGTTATCAACTGCCTTCGGAGTTGGAGATCAGTGGGGCAGAAGAACAGCTGGAGCCTGTTCCCGATGTGTGCATGCGCAGAGCTGCCAGAAGAAGGGAACAGTTAAGGAACAAGGTTTGACTTGGGAGTAAAGGCGCAGGTAGACAGTGAACGGTCCCTCCCATAGGGAATAAAGAGGAGTAAAGGGGGAGTGGGGTTTGCAGGAGACAATTAGTTTGTTTAATTAGGATGAAGATCTATTCGTGACTCCTTGCCCAGTATTGTCTGCTACAGAGTTTGGAAACTATGGCCTGGCAATTCTCCAAGCCTGAAAAAAGGTCTGTGGTTGCAATTCACCCTTGAAAGACTGTTTGCCGGGACTTTGCCAGATATGAATGAGAGGAATTCACATTAGCCTAAATAAAAAGGGGTTTTGTCAGGACGAGGAGTCTGCTTTGTGATCTTGGGAAGCCTAGGTCAGAAAACTGTTAAGGGCAACTGGGCAAACGCAGAGCTGCACTGAAGTGAAATTTGAAAGACTTTGATAACTACTCCACGAAAGTGTAGTGTGCAATAATGACTTTGCTAAACCTGCAAGATACTTAGAATAGTTCATGCTCCTTAAATACCACAGTGTGTTAATGCCCAGCAAGTTGAATGTTTTTCCTTCTTTACTGAAGGACAGAATGTTCCAAGCACCTGCTCTTGATTTATTAAAAGCTTTAATAAATCAAAAGAAGCTAAGAGAGCGGAAGAACACCGAGAGATACCTCCTTAATTCAAGGCACAATATTATTTCCCTGATTAATTGTGTAGCCCGGGCCGTTTCTTAAACCACAAGATCTTCTTACACGGCTGTGTTGGGAATGTCTTGAAACGCCATTCCCTCTCAGATCTGTTGATCGCCGTGCAAGTAAACTTAGGAAATAACTACTTATTTAATTCTTAAGTTATTTATAGTCGTGGGCGAAAGATTTGTCAAGGCCTTTAGATGTGCACGTTAAGGTTGCAACCCTATAAAATTGTGATTGGGTTGGTTTTAAGCTCTACGCTTTGCATAAGCAAGTGGAAAATAGAAGCTTTTGGAAGACGCCACAGTTCTTTAAAAGCACCTTTTGAGTGGCTCACAACAGGGCTGTCAAACTGGATTTCTTGGAGGGCTGGATCAGAATTGTAGTTGTCCTTTGTGGGCTGGCTTGGGGGTGGAGACAGGACAACCAGCCTCCTGGAGTACCCTGCCGGTGAAAACAGGGCATGGGGGGGCAATGGGGAACCTCCGCGCACCCTGTTTTTGGCCTGGGTGGTCACCTTCAGCCTCTTGCTGGCCAAAACGGGGTGGGGGGCTCATTTTGGTTGGCAGGGTGCTGCAGGAAGCAGTCCAGGCCAAAAATGGGGCAGACATGGGGGCCCCCATGCCCCCCCACATGCCCTGCTTTCACTAGAAGAGGCACTGTGGGCCAGTCCTGTACTATTTCCAGGCTGGCCCCACGGGTCAGATCTAAGCATCCTGCGGGCCATGTCTGGCCTTGAATTTGATACCCCTGTCTTACAACTTAGTCATTGTTGCTCAGTTCAACCTATAATATAGGGTGATCGTTATGAGTAAAAATGAAAGAAGGGTGCATGATGAAGTTGCCTTGAGTTTCAAACAAAAAAACAAACAAAACAGTGCATGGAAAATCAGAGACTAAAAGGATCCTATTGAGAATTTAGTGATAGTATTATTAATTTTTTTTGCTCCCCTTGTCTCTGGGGGTCTCGTAAGCTTCTTACCGGCTTTACGAACCAATGCCACAACTGTGAAAATGTATGCAGACGACTCTACAGCTTACCTTTTTCTAAAAGCATGTGCAAAGCTTTGCATCCATATCTCTGGATCTTTTCATGATCAGGAAAAGTATCCATGGCATCAAATATCAATAGAAATATATCAGTCCCTTCCTCTAAGAGAAGAAGTGTGATTTCATCTAAACGATACAAGGAAAACTCTGGAGATCATTGGCTTACAAGTATCGCGTTCATTTTGCTTTCATCAATACAAATCCATATATATATCTAAAAGTATTATTCCCAGAGAAGTACAGGTTCACTTATGACCACCAATGAGCCCAAAATTTTTGGTTGCTAAGTGAAATGGTTGTTAATTGAGCGTTGTATTATATTGTACTGTACTGTATTGTACTGTACTCTTCTCCTCTATTCTCCTCTCCTCTCCTCTACTCCTCTACTCTACTCGAGGGGTCTCCAACCTTGGCAACTTTAAGAGTTGTGGACTTCAACTTCCAGAATTCCTCAGCCAGGAATGCTGGCTGAAGAATTCTGGGAGTTGAAGTCCACAACTCTTAAAGTTGCCAAGGATGGAGACCCCTGTTCTACTCTACTCTACTCTACTCTACTACTCTACTCTACTCTATTACTCTACTCTATTACTCTACTCTACTCTACTACTCTACTCTACTTCACTCCTCCACTCCACTCCACTCGCTCCATTTCATAGATTCTATTCTATTCTATTTTCTGTTCTATTTTCTGTTCTATTTTCTATTCTATTTTCTATTCTATTTTCTATTCCTTTCCATTCCATTCCATTTATTCTATTCTGTTCTGTTCTGTTATATTCTGTTTTGTTCCATCCGTTCCATCTGTTCCATTCCACAACACTCTACTGGAACCAGTAGGGGACAAGGATGACAGGGATGATCATATATTACCTGCTTTGGTAATGAAACATCTGCAAGAAAACCACCAAGTCAGACAGCACCAAGGACCCCACAAAGTTCTATCTATGTGGTCTCAAAGAGTCGGCAGTAGTAGCATTTAATCAACCCATCAAAATATACAAATTAAAAAGAATATTCTTTCCCCCCTATCGTTTCATATGCAAGGGTTCGAAGAACAATAAACAGGCAGAGAATAATGAAGGTCTTGAACCACTAACATTATATCATGTGCCTATACATTTTAAGAAAAATTACGCACCTGAAGAAAGAAGTAGATTTAATGCTTTCAAGCCAACCTTTGAAAGATGCACATCAGCACTGTGGGTTTTAAGCATCTTGAGAATTTGCCTAAAGTAAAAAGAAGAAGAAATCTTAATTGCAATCCAAAATATGTTAGCTACAAATCACAGTAAAATGAACAGGCATACTTATGGATTCAGATAAGCATAATGTTCCCGCATACAAGCAAGCAATTGAAATTTCTATTCCTCAATCACTGACCATTCCTTTTTTTTAATAATCATTGTTGGATTTACATATCATGCTAAATGATAATGTGATTTGTTGGTTTTGGCTTAGATTTGTGTGTGTGTGTGTGTGTGTGTGAGAGAGAGAGAGAGAGAGAGAGAGAGGGAGAGAGAGATGGAGAGAGGGACAAAGGGAGGGGGAGGGGGAGAGAAAGAGGGAGGGAGAGAGAGGAAGGGATGGAGGGAGAGGGGTAAGAGGGAGAGAAAAAGAGAGGGATGGAGGGAGGGGGAGAGAGGGGGGGAGGGGGAGGGAGGGAGAGGGAAGGAGAAAGAGTGGGAGAGAGAGAAAGAGAGGGGGAAGAGAGAGAGAACATTATCCTAGACATATTTAACCAAAATTTATCCGTTTCCAACAAATGCAATTTAGATGCCACGTATCAGGATAGTCATTTAACCACAATTCTCAATTACCCAATCAACATACATTGGTTAAAAAAAATAACCAAGGCATCTGAAAGTGTAAGTATATACTAAATATTTCTTCCTTCCTCATAACTGTCTGGATCTCACTTTTTATTTATTCTCATCCAACCCTGGCACTAGTTGAAACCACAAATTCTTCCTTTGAAAATGGCTAATCTTAAATGTTCTGCATAGAGAAAACAAGGATAGGAGACCCGAAAGAATTGTGTGTGCATCCTTTCTTGGGTTTGTCCACAAACTGTTTGGGTTTAGGAATGAACTGGTCAGCAGGCCAAGCCCTGTGAATGATGCCAAATTATTCATAATAGTGAAACCGAAACTGATTGTGAACAATTCCCAGATCTCTTCATACCGGATGAATGATTTTTAAAAAACCAAAGCAAACGCCCATCCTATCTGATTGTGCAGAGTGATGCAAACCAGAGCAAAACTCAAAAACTCACATACAGAAAATAGGTTTGAACTGTCTATAACCATTCAGGAAAAAGATCTTCAAGCTAAAAGTAATTAACACTGCATGGAGGATTGTGTGTATGTGTGTGTGTGTGTGTGTGTGTGTGTGTGTGAGGAACCAAAGGGGTGTGGCACAAAGGCAACACAGTCAGATAATCAGTAGGAGCCCCTTTATTAGCTCCAACTTTGCCCCCGAAGTCCTGGTTACCTTCTGGGCTGGAGAAAGACTCTCCCAGGAACAGCCTTTGGCTGCAGAGAATCAAGTCCAAAACATGGTCAACAAAAACTGTAACTATAAGTCCAATCAAGGCAAAATGAGGTAATTAGTCCGGGAGGGCAGGAGAAGAAATTCCAGGCGTGATGGCACGGCAATAACTCAACATGGTTGGGAGGACGCCAGGAACACAGATAACCAAAGTCAACACAAGATAAACTCAGGTTTGTTCCTGGCAGCTGCTGTACTCAGGATGCATCTCTTTTAAACTCTCATTCCCAGCTGTGGCTACTGAAGGGAATCAGGGCCCTTTCCTCCCCGGTAAGCCACGCAACCCATGTTGCTCCCTTTTCCGTTCCTCCCTGCGTGTCCTAGGATGAAGAGGGGGTGGGCCTGGGTCTGAACTCCCTCTCCCTTGTTCTACCTTTCTCTTGCTCTGCCCACCCCAGATTCCTCCACAGCCAACGGAGCCACGCTCCCCCTCCCTGTCAGCTGTTCTGCTTCCTCCTTGGGTTCAGACTCCAACAGGGGCATGCCACTGTGTGTCTGTACCAAAACGTTAAGGCATTGACTATAATTACTGGAAGATTCGGCGCAGACAAAATAAAACATTCCTTCACACAAGGCATGCCATTAATCTTTAGAACACAGGTAAGTCCTTGAGTTATGACCACAACTGAGCCCCCAAATTTCCATTGCTAAGTAAGACATTGGTTAAGTGAGTTTCGCCCCATTTTGCCCCCTTTCTTGCCACAGTGGTTCAGTGAATCTCTGGAATTGTTAAGTTCATAACCCAGTCATTAAACGAATCCGGCTTCCCCCATTGACTTGGCTTGTCAGAAGGTCTCAAAAGGGAATCGCATGACACTGTGACGATCATAAGTACTTAACAGCTGCAGTGATTCGTTTAATCACTACAGCGAGAAAGGTCTTAGAATGGGGCACAACTGTTCTGACCAAGGCTTTCTGAGACACCAACAAACACACATAAAATCCAAGACCCTTTTATTTTAGTTCAATGGCTGTGAATTATCATCATTCACAGCCCCGAATGAGATTCAACCGGTTATAAATAGTCCCAAGAACGTCTGCCAAAGTTCTTCGCAAAATGTCTGATAAGAACGCACCTTACCTGACTTGAAGTGCTGCCAGTGACTAAAGTTCCAATTAGTCTTTCAAAACCAAACAGAGAACAAATTCACCATGGAGCTTTCAGAGTCCAAACTGATCAGAGCAAACAACATTGCTTCCTGCAAAGGTTTTCCTACCTTTGCACTTCCTTTATACCTTAGGGGAGGGGCAATCACCTCCCAGCCGTACTCCCAAGTCGCCCCTTTTGTCTTAGCTGCTCTTGCCTTCTAGCAGCTCTGCGCACACACGCTCTGGGAACAGGGTCCCCTTGTTCCTCTGCCTCGCTGCTGCCTGATTCTGGAGACTCAGGAGTCAGCACCCCACTCTCAGATGGTCCTGGCCCCATCTCTGTATCAGACGCAGGACCCTCGTCCGAGTCCTCCCCAGACTCCCGGACTGGCCCATGTTCTTAACCACTGTCCAATTCTGCTGCCGTCTGCACAGGCTGCTGGCAAACCACAACAACAACATTCTTAGCAACCGAAATGCTAGCCTCGACTGTGGTCATAAGTCGAGGAAGTGTGTACAGGAAGCTAATAATGAAATCCTTTGGATAGATTTCATTCTAGAACCCAACATTCTTTGAAACTTCACTGGGGTCGAACCCCTTTAGACAATATAACAAAACAAATATTTTTCTTTCTTAGGGTAAAAGCTCACTAGACAGTTTCTGCACAGATTTATTCTAAGTATCTCACTTACTGACGGATTTAATTGGCTCTCTCCCTCACCCCACCCTGTCTCAGGCAGGCCAGAGGCAGACTGAGATTACAAAAACAAAAAAAACCCCAACCCTGCTGTAATTCCTTCAAACCAACGCCCTCTCAGAGAACGGGAAGCTAACCACAGATTCTGAAAGTTAAACCATTTCACTTCTCTTTTGTCTCTCTGACAAAAATAGCATTGACATTTTTCTCAGCACGGAGAAACTTTCTTTTCATCAAAAATGCTCTCTTCAGCCATTATTATTATTATTATTATTATTATTATTATTATTATTATTATTACCGTTTCCCCGAAAATAAGATCCAACAGGAAAATAAGCCCTAGCATTTTTCAGGATGCTCATAATATAAGCCCTACCCCAGGAACAAGCCCCAGTTAAGATCGTCAGCCAGATTTAGTATTTAGAATCATATTTCCCTGAAAATAAGACCTAACCATAAAATAAGCCCTAATGCAACTTTTGGATCAAAAAATAATATAAGACCTAGTCTTATTTTCCGGGAAACACAATATTATTATTGTTATAAAATTTTATTCATTAACCATGAAATTCAGTCAACTGAATTTTTAAAAATGTATCACAAATACCAGTGACTGGCATTGATGGTTGATACGGGTTGCTGCCAGCATTCTAGATATCAACCAAGTTAAAATATACAATTTTCCAAGTAGCTCAGTTTTTTGCAGTTCTGTTGGTGTTATTGCAGGAAGCTACAATTTCTTGATGTGTTTTGTAAAATTATTATTATTATTATTATTATAATACAAAAAAAAATAACAGTGTACACAGCAAATGAGATATCTATGCTGGGTTTCGTATCACAAATCACTAGTTGAACCCTTCCCAAGCATTTAGGACTGCGTGATGTATCAGTGGATTATGCGAGCAGATCCCAGTAAGGTGGCCTTCTGCAGCTGACCAATGGTGATCTTGTCAGCGCCAATTGTTTTCAAGTGCTTGCCAAGGTCTTTAGGCACAGCACCCAGTGTGCCGAGTACCACTGGAACCACCTGCACTGGTTTATTCCAGTCTTCTACTACTACTACTACCACCACTACTACTACTACTACTACTACTACTACTATTACTATTATTATTATTATTATTATTATTATTATTATTATTATTATATCTTTAGTGAGATTCACAGCTTTTGGGGCTGGTTGATAGCTCAACAGCTCGAGTCCTAACCAAGGACCTAGGAACTGTTCAGGTAAAGTCAGAGGATATAAGCTGTTCCAAGTAGGGTGTTTTTTTTGTAGAATCATGGTATTCAAGTCTGATAAATTCAGAATTTCCAAATAGGAGAGGCAGCCCTTCAAGTATTGCCCCAAGGGCTCCAATCACAATTGGGATAACACACAATTTCTTTTTCCAAAGTCACTCAACTTCAATTTGTAAGTCCCGATACTTTGTGATTTTTTTCTTGCTGCGTGTCTACAATTATTGTTGTTGTTGTTATTAAATCTTCAATTTGATTCACAGTCTGGGACTGGTAAAAACCTAACAGCTCAAGTCCTAACCTATATTCAGAATATTCAGCTCTGATGAGTTCAAAATTTCCATGTATCTAGGCAACTCTACTGCTCCAAGGGCTCCTGTTACTATTGGTACAACCGATTTCTTCCTCCATAACTGCTCAACTTCAATTTGCAAATCACAATATTACGTTATTTTTTTCCTAGTTCCCAGTCATTTTTGCTGCATTCGAACCCAAACTTCCAGCAAAGCTGTCAATGTATGATTTTGGCAACTCAATCGTCATGTTGTAGAATAATCAAGTTTGTCAGATTTTGCTGCAGCCACTGATAAAGTGACCCACTGTTTCATCGATCTAATTATGATTACTAATTCTGGTGATCTTCTCCCGGGCAAATTATAGCTGATTCCACCTGTCGGGTTTTTCATTCTACCCCAGATGAAACCTCTCCATCAATTGGGTTTTTGAGACAAGTGGAACCAAGAAGTTTAAAAGCAAATGTTTATGACCATGCATTGTTCACGTTGTGTTCATCTGAAAAGCAGTCCTGGCTAACAGACACAGGATGTTTGTGGCCTACAAGCAGTGGTGGGATTCAAATTTTTTAACAAGTGGTTCTGTGGGCGTGGCTTAGTTGGTGGGCATGGCTTGGTGGTCATGTTATTGGCTGGATGGACGTGGCCAACTCAACATCACACACATCGAGGCATGCATCTCCTCGCCTGGCCTCCCATGACTGTGGGGATGCTGCAACAGTCATAAGTGTGAAAAACGGTCATAAGTCACTTTTTTCAGTGCCATTGTAACATTGAATGGTCACTCCACACAAGTACCAGCAAAGGAGGGGGAAAAAACTCCAGAGAAGTTCCTGAGACAGAAAGTCTAGTCCTGCCAAGAATGTAATAAGGATTAACAGAGAGGCAGTTTCTGTAAGCAACACCAGAATGTTTCCTTCCTGCCTTCCTTACAGGATTAGGCCAGTAATTTCTTCTAACAACCGGTTCTCTGAACTGCTTAGAATGTTAACAACCGGTTCTACCGAATAGGTGCGAACTGGTAGAATCCCACCCCTGCCTACAAGCAGGGGTGGGATTCAAATAATTTAACAATGGGTTCTCTGCCCTAATGACTAGCTGGGTGAGCATGGCCATGATGGGCGTGGCCAGGGGTGTGTGACAAGCAGCAATCAGCCTCCTGAACTCCTCTGGGAGCAAAAATGGGTCGTGGGGGAGCCATGCCACACATCCCCATGCCTCGTTTTGGGCCTAGTAGGCCTCCCTGCACTTACCTGGGAGCCAAAATGGGGCACGTGTGGATTCCTGGAAGTGGCGGGGTGGGGAGGGGAGGGGCCAGCAATTTAACCATCGGCTTGACCGAAGTGGTGCAAGACGGTTGAATCCCACCACTGCCTACAACACACTGGAGATCAGGCTGCCAAAATTCAGTAGCAAAATGACAGATTTTTCAGCTAGGCCCGTGATGGCGAACCTATGAGCCATCTCCTGGAACAGATCCACTGCACATGCATGTGCGTCCCTCCCACCAGCCGGCTGATTGTCGGGTAGCTACCGCGCATTCACGGGGGTGGGCCGTGCATAGGAGATGCATGCACATGCGCAGGGGGCATGCACAGGGGGGTTGCATGTGCATGCAGAGGTGCACAGCACATGCAGGGGAGGGTCGCATGCACACACGTAGGGGGCGGGGGTTGCGCACGCACATTGCATTATGGGTGCAGGAACGCATGCGCACTTTTGGCACGCGACAACTAAAAGGTCAGCCATCACTGAGCTAGATGATTGGGCTATGTGCACAGACAATCCTGGACTTACAACATTCACTGAGTGACTCTTCAAAGTTACTGAAAAGTTACTGAAAGAAAGAACTTAGGACTGCTTTTCACATTTTACAACCGTTAAGTGACTGTTTAAGTTACAAAATTACTGAAAAGAGTGGCTTAGGAGTGTTTTTTAGTATACATCTGGAGTGGGAGAAACCAGGCTTAATAGCAATAACTGTGAGAGGGATCTTGGAGTCTCCATGGACAACCAGCTAAATAGGAGCCAGCAGTGTGTAGCACCAGCCAAAAAGGCTAAGGCAATCCTAAGCTGTATTAACAGAGAGATATAATCAAGATCCAGGAAAGTACTAATACCACTCTATAAAGCCTTAGTAAGAACACACCTAGAGTACTGCATCCAGTTTTGGTCACCACACTATAAAAAAGATGTTGAGACTCTAGAAAGAGTGCAGAGAAGAGCAGCCAGGATGATGAGGGGACTGGAGGCTAAAACATATGAAGAACGGTTGCAGGAACTGGCTAGTCTAATGAAAAGAAGGACCAGGACGGACAGGGTAGTCTTCCAATATTTGAGGGGCTGCCACAGAGGAGGGGGTCAAGCTATTTCCCAAAGCACCTGAAGGCCAGACAAGGAATAAAGGATGGAAACTGGACAAGGAGAGATTTAACCTGGAAATAAGGAGAAACTTTCTGACAGAACAATTAACCAATGGAACAGAAGTTGCCCTCGGAAGTCGTGGGAGCTTCATCACTTGAGCCTTTCAAGAAGAGATTGGACTGCCATCTGTCAGAAATGGTGTAGGGTCTCCTGCTTGGGCCGGGGGGGTTGGACTAGATGACCTATAAGGTCCCTTCCAACTCTGATTATGTTATATGTTTTTCACACTTACAACCGTTTCACACTTATGACCCCGTGATCACATGATCAAAATTCATACGTTTGGCAACTGGCTTGTATTTATGACAGATGCAGTGTCCCCCGGGGGTCACGAGATCTCCCTTTGCGACCTTCTAACAAGTAAAATCTATGGGGAAAGCCAGATTCACTTAACGACCGTGTGACCGACTTAACAACTGTAACGATTCACTTAACAGCCGTGGCAAGAAAGGGATAAACCTCACTCTTGCTTAGCAATGGACATTTTGAGCTCCATTGTATTCATATTCAAAGACAAGATAATATTTTATTCTTCTGCAGTAACAGGCTGTGCTAGAGTCAGTATACTTACTGATGGACACCAAGAACTTCCCAGTCCTTTCCGATGCCTTGTGGAGCTGTTAAATGATGCAGAGCTTCTGGGCATATTTTAATCAGTTTGCAAAGAAGTGTCCAGCCCACCTAAAAAGCAGAAAATAAATGTTTGGTTTATAAAAATACAGTTCACCAACCTCCTTTACGTCCCACTTAAAGATTTAGCAGTCTTCCAATATTTGAGGGGCTGTCACAGAGAGGAAGCAGTTCAAGCTATTTTCTAAAGCACCTGAAGGCCAGACAAGGAATAATGGGTGAAAACTGATCAAGGAGAGATTCAACCTGGAAATAAGGAGAAACTTTCTGACAGTGAGAACAATCAACCCATGGAACAGAAGTTGCCTTCAGAAGTTGTGGGAGCTTCATCCCTGGAAGCTTTCAAGAAGAGACTGGACTGCCACCTGTCAGAAAAGTTGTAGGGTCTCCTGCTTGGGCAGGGGGTTGGACTAGATGACCCTCCTAACTCTGATTATCTGTTATCTATTTCCCAGACAGTAAATTTTTAATAAGTCAATTTCTTCGCTTGTAATGCAAGAATAGAATAAAATAACAGCACTAAAGTAAAGTTCAGTGAGTCCGGTGTAACTTCGGACGATCGCTAAACAAATTGTTGCAAGTCCAGGACATCACACTTAACACAAACTGTCCTGTTTTATCTAATGCGTGAGGGAGAAGGCATCAAATCCCAAGCAGTAATTATAAAATTAGAGTTTTGTTCCTGACCTGAAATAATGTGGGTTTCTGGTTGACAGTGGAGTCATTTTTTTACTGCGACAAAAAACAAGTGTAAACACCCACAGAGTTCTGGACAGAACAAAATGAATGCCAGCCACTTCATTTCTGTCTTGAAATCTGTTCGTTTTTGTGTGCCTCTCACTACATTTTTTTTTTAGCGTCTGTGTTTCAACTGCTCCTTCAATAAAAAACATCACTCCAGGCATGCAATTCCTTGTTCATATATGTGTATGTATGTATGTATGTATGTGTATGTGAATGTGTATATATGTATATGTATGTATATGTATGTATATGTATATATGTTTTCTTAAGTTTTCACGTGTACTTACATGTATGGTATTCAGCTTTGTTCGGGTATTTTCCCACGTCATTATAGTTGTGCTTTTAAAGTTGTAGCAACGTTTCAGCAGAATCTCATCTGCCATCATCAGGCTTCTGTATAGTGTTCGTCTGTGAGTCAGACTTTTACAGTTGTTTCAGTTTTAAATTTGGGGCTAGCCTACTGCTGTGCCAGAATGGTTTTTTCTTCATCCTGATTGGTTGGAAGTCTTGGTCTGTGTTTATTGGTCTTGGAGTTTGCTGTGTTCTGCTTGATTGGTGTTTCTAATATTTTCTGTCTGTTTTGTGGCTTTTTTTGTCTTGGTTGGCTGGCAACATTGTGTTCCTGTATTGGAGGCTTTTAGTGCAGCTTGGCTCCGAGTAAATGGACGGCTATCATTTGTTAGAAAGCTAGGTTTCATCTAGGTGCCTGGTTGGGGTGTGTCTGAGCTGGAGGTATCAGGGGGGATCTGTTTGTGCCCAGGTGTTTGCCTGGCTTGTGGTGTGGAGATTTTTTTGTTTGTGAGTGCAGGCTTCCAAATAATTGACAGTCTGGTGGAATCATCTCTTTTATTCATGCTTTCAGGTCTTTTTTCAATCTCTATGGCTTCTCTGATAATTCTGTGGCTGGGGTTTTCTATAGTGGCTAGGGTTTTGGTGCCATTGAAGTTGATGCTATGACCTGTGGCTTTCATGTGTTGGACTAGTGAGGAAGTGTGTTCCAGCTTTTTTACTGCATTTCTGTGTTTATCCAGGCGGGTACTTATTCTTATATTGGTCTGTCCAATGTATGTGGGAGGGCATGATGCACAGGGGACTTCATATATGCCTTGGTTTTCCAGGTCAATTTTATCTTTGTGGTTTCTTAGGATGGCTGCTATTTTTCTGTCTGTTTTGAAGGCAGTCTTGATGTGGTGCCTGTGTAGTATCTTACTGATTTTGTCTGTAGTACCTCTTATGTAGGGCAGGACAGCTGTTCCATAGGTCTGTTCATCTTCTAGGTACCCGAACAAAGCTGAATATCATACATGTAAGTACCCGTGAAAACTTAAGAAAACACACATACACACACACACAGCTCAAAAAATAAAGGGAACACTTAAACAACACAATGTAACTCCAAGTTAATCACACTTCTGTGAAATCAAACAGTCCACTTAGGTAGCAACACTGATTTGACCATCAATTTCACATGCTGTTGTGCAAATGGAATAGACAACAGGTGGAAAGCAGAGGCAGTTAGCAAGACATCCCCAATAAAGGAGTGGTTCTGCAGGTGGTGGCCACAGACCACTTCTCAGTTCCTATGCTTTCTGACTGATGGTTTGGTCACTTTTAAATGCTGGTGGTGCTGTCACTCTAGTGGTAGCATGAGACGGAATCTACAACCCACACAAGTGGCTCAGGTAGTGCAGCTCATCCTGGATGGCACATCAATGCGAGCTGTGGCAAGAAGGTTTGCTGTGTCTGTCAGCGTAGTGTCCAGAGCATGGAGGTGCTACCAGGAGACAGGCCAGTACATTAGGAGACATGAAGGAGGCCATAGGAGGGCAACAACCCAGCATCAGGACCGCTACCTTCGCCTTTGTGCAAGGAGGGACAGAAGGAGCACTTCCAGAGCCCTATAAAATGACCTCCAGCGGGCCACAAATGTGCATGTGGCTGCTCAAACGGTCAGAAATAGACTCCATGAAGGTGGTATGAGGGACCGACGTCCACAGGTGGGGGTTGTGCTTACAGCCCAACACCGTGTAGGACGTTTGTCATTTGCCAGAGAACATCAAGATTGGCAGATTCGCCACTGGCGCCCTATGCTCTTCACAGATGAAAGCAGGTTCACACTGAGCACATGCGACAGACGTGACAGGGTCTGGAGACACCGTAGAGAACGTTCTGCTGCCTGCAATATCCTCCAGTATGACCGGTTTGGCAGTGGGTCAGTAATGGTGTGGGGTAGCATTTTTTTAGGGGGGCCGCACAGCCCTCCATGTGCTCGCCAGAGGTAGCCTGACTGCCATTAGGTACTGATATGAGATTCTCAGACCCCTTGTGAGACCATATGCTGGTGCGGTTGGCTCTGGATTCCTCCTAATGCAAGACAATGCTAGACCTCATGTGGCTGGAGTTCCTGCAAGATGTAGGCATTGATGCTATGGACTGGCCCGTCCGTTTCCCAGACCTGAATCCAATTGAGCACATCTGGGACATCATGTCTCGCTCCATCCACAAACGCCACGTTGAACCACAGACTGTCCAGGAGTTGGGAGATGCTTTTCCAGGTGTGGGAGGAGATCCGTCAGGAGACCATCCGCCACCTCATCAGGAGCATGCCCAGGTGTTGTAGAGAGATCATACAGGCACGTGGAGGACACACACACTACTGAGCCTCATTTTGACTTGTTTTAACAACATTACATCAAAGTTGGATTAGCCTGTAGTGTTTTTTTCCACTTTAATTTTGAGTGTAACTCCAAAACCAGACCTCCATGGGCTGCTAAATTTGATTTCCATTGATAATTTTTGGGTGATTTTGTTGTCAGCACACTCAACTATGTAATGAACAAAGTATTTAATGAGAATATTTCATTCATTCAGATCTAGGATGTCTTATTTTTGTGTTCCCTTTATTTTTTTGAGCAATATGTGTGTGTGTGTGTGTGTGTGTGTGTGTGTGTGTGTACACACACACATATGCAAGCAAATGGCTTTGCTTTCTGTTAACATCCTGTCCAATTGTAGTTTATTTTTATTTAAGGAACATTTATAGTGGGACATTTTACCTATGTCTTACTGTTTTACTATGGTAATTAAATCAGGTTTTGGTTTAAAAGAGAAATTATTTCCTTATGATATTTCCTCACAGTTAGGCCACTGTTTATAGCAACATGCCTCTCATCAAACAGCAGTCCCAAAGCCACCTGTTAGATTCTTATTTTATGCATCTCTTCAAACTGTAAGGAGGGTACAGGGGCAGCCTATTTTAAAAGATAATAATTAAAAAACAGAAGTTCTGTTTCACAGTCAATATTATGTCAAAGCATCATTTTTTGGCCCGAACAGAATAGAAAGTGAATTGTGACACATTCCATCTCCCTGAGACTGACTTCCTTCCTTCCTTCCTTCCTTCTCTCTCTCTCCTTCCTTCCTTCTTTCTCTCTCTCTCTCTCTCTCTCTCTCTTTTTGATGGAGCAGATAAAATGATGTTTAGCTTGCAAATGCAGGCAGGAGGAGGAGGAGGAGGAGGAGGGGAAGGAGAAGGTAGACAGTAGCAGAAGGACAAGGAGAATAACAGAATAACAGAGTTCAAAGGGACCTTGAAGGTCTTCTAGTCCAATCCCTGTTCAAGCAGGACACCCTATTCCATTCTAGCGGTTGTCCAGGAGGAGGAGGGGACTTACAAGGAGACGAAGGAGAAGGAGCAGAAAAAAGGAGGAGGAGAAGGAAAGAAAGAGAAAGTAGACAGGCACAGAAGGACAAGAATAACAGAATAGTTGGAAGGGACCTTGAAGGCCTTCTAGTCCAACCCCGGCTCAAGCAGGAGACCCTATTCCATTCCCGTGGCTGTCCAGGAGGAGGAGGAGGAGGAGGAGACTTACAAGAAGAAGAAGATAGAAGGAGAAGGAGATAGAAGAAGATAATAGAAGGAGGAGGAGATAGAAGATGAAGATAGAAGGAGGAGGAGATAGGAGAAGACAGGAGAAGGAGAAGATAGGGGAAGGAGATAGAAGTAGAAGGAGATAGAAGGTGGAGATGGAGGAGGAGGCGACTTACAAGAAGGTAGAAGAAGATAGGAGGAGGAGATAGAAGGAGGAGGAGATAGGAGAAGAAGAAAAGAGAAGAAAAAGATAGGAAGAGGAGACTTACAGCAAGGAGAAGATAGAAGGAGGGGAAGAAGAAAAGGAAGATAGAAGGAGGAGGAGACTTACAAGGAGAAGAAGATAGAAGAAAAGATAGGAGGAGGAGGAGGAGGAAAAGGAGGAGATAGACAGAAGATCGAAGGAGAGTTACAAAGAGGAGGCAGGGGAGAAGGGCAGCTGCCTTACCTGTTGCACTCTCCCCACCCTCAGGTAGGACACCAGCACCAGCAGCAGAGGCACGTAGACGCTCCCGTCGCGGAAGAGCCGGGCACCTGAGGGGAGGCAGGAGGAGAGGAGCCTGAGTCCTGTCCCGTCCCTTCCCGCGGGACCCTCGGAGAGGGGAGTCAGAGGCGGCCGCCCCCTTACCGCTGGGCAGGCCGGCCAAGGCCAGCAGGTCCTGCAGCGTCTGCAAGAGGCTCTCCAGCTGCTTCCCCTCCTGCAAGTTCCGCAGCCGGACCACCAGCTTCTGCAGCGCCGCCGCCCGACGCTCCTCGTCCGCCTCAGACGACGACGACGACGGGCCCGGCGCCCCGCTAGCCATGGCCGGCCGGCCGGCCCGCCTGCCTGAGTGGGGGGGAAAAAACCAAAGTCTCCTCAGGCCCGCCCGGCCTGCCCGCTCGCCCCGCGCTCCTCCTCTGGAGCCCGGTCGGGTCGGGCGAGGCGGAGGAAGGAGCCCTAGATGGCGTCCGGAGGGTTCCTCCCCGGCTGGAGGGAGGAGGAGGGAGGGAGGGAGGGAGGAAGGAAGGAAAGGGGAGAAGCGGAGGGGAAGCCGCTGGGACGGGGGGACGGTTCCGCGGCCCGAGGCCGAGCGGGGGCGGCGGCCGAGCGGAGCCCGGGAGCAAATGGGGAAGAGGAGTACGGAAAGGGCACAGAGGATGGTCCCCGGAAAGTTTTTCTCTTTTCTTTTCTTTCTTTCTTTCACGTTCTTTCTTTCTTTCTGTCTCTTTCTTTCCTTCCTTTCTTCTCTCTTTCCTTTCTTTCTTCTCTCCTTTCTTTCTTCTCTCTCTCTTCCCTTCCTTCCTTGCTTTTCTCTCTTTCTCTCTCTCTCTCACTTTCTTTCTTTCTTTCTTTCGCTCTCTTTCCTTCGTTTCTTCTCTCTTTCTTTCCTTCCTTGCTTTTCTCTCTCTTTCTCTCACTTTATTTTTCTTTCCTTCTTTCTTTCTTGGTCTCGCTCTCCCCCTCCCTTTCTTTTTCTGTTTTTTCCTCCCTCCCTTCCGCCTCCTTTCTTTCCTTCTTTCTTCCCTTCCTTCCTTCTTTCTCCCTCTTTCCCCTCCCTTTCTTTTTCTTTCTTTTTCTTTCCTCCCTCCCTTCCTTCTCTCTCTTTCTGTCTATATTTCTTTTCTTCTCTTTGTTCCTTTCTTTTTCTCCTTCTTCTTTTTCCCTTTTTCTTTATTCATTTTTCTTTCTTCTTCCTTTTCTTTCTTCTTTCACTTTCTTCCTGCCTCCCACCTTCCCTTCTCTTCCCTTCCCTTCCCCTTTGCCTCCAAGAATTAAACTGCTAGAACTGCTGTTAGAAAGTAATGCCAGTTCTCTTTGACAGCTCAAAGCTCCCGAGTTAGGAAAAGCATTTCTCAGGAAGGTAGCAAGAGGTTGCAGGACAGCAGTTCATTCCGGCTTTCCACTCCCACACCCCGCTTCCCCATTGGGGGTGGGGGGGAAGAAGCTTCCCTGGTGTTCTCCCCAAATCACCAGACAGAAAAAGTGCTCCTGGTTGCTGAAGTAGCAACCCTCAAATAGAAGAACCCTGTTAATGTCTGCAATATGACAGTGCCGGTTGTTTCATCAAAGCCTCCAAAATGTATTCCACCTGGTCTAAATAAGGGATAATATAGGAAAGCTCCGCTGGATGACTTTGGGCCAGTCGCTTACAGGGTTGTTGTTGTGGGAAAAATAGGAGGAGTATTTAGCTATGAGGCCCTCCTGAGCTTTTTATAAAAATAATAAAGATGAGATAAAAATCAGATGAATGAATGAATGATAGATAGACAGATAAAGATAAGATAGAGATATAGATATAGATTAGATATATAAAGATAAGAGAGAGAGATTAAATAGATTAGATAAAGATAGAGATAGATAGGACAGAAAGAGAGAGCAATAAGATAGAGATAGATTAGAGACAGATAAGAGAGAGAGACAGATAAAGATAAGAGAGATATTGATAGATTTAGATTAGATAGATATATAAAGATAAGAGATAAAGATAAAATAGAGATCAATTAGATAAATAGAGAGAGAGAGAAAGATATAGATAGATAAAGATAAGAGAGATAAGATTAGATAGATAAAGATAAGATAGAGATATATAAAGATAATATATAGATAGATTAAAAATAAGATAGATGGATAGATATAGATAGATATATAAAGATAAGAGATTAGATAGAGAAAGATAAGATAGAGATAGATAAGATAATATATAAAAAATAAGATAGATTAGATGGATAGAGATAAGATTAGATAGATATATAAAGATAAGAGAGATAAATTAAGAGAAAGATAAGAGATAAAGATAATATATAGATAGATAAAAATAAGATTAGATGGATAGAGAAGATTAGATATATAAAGATAAGAGATTAGATAAAGATAAGATATAGATAGATAAAGATAATACATAGATAAAGATAAGATAGATTAGATGGATAGAGATAAGATTAGATAAATTAGATATATAAAGATAAGAGAGATAGAGAAAGATAAGATAGAGATAGATAGATAGATAGATAGATAGATAGATAGATAGATAGATAAGACAGACAGATAAACCAGATTCACTTAACTATGTTACTAATTTAATGGCAGTGATTCACTTAACAAACTCTGCAAGAAAAATCGTAAAATGCAGAAAAACTCACTTAACAAATATCTCACTTAGCGATATAAATGTTGGGCTCAATCATGGTTGTAAGTTGAGGAATACCTCTAGTGCTTTTCTTTGCTTTTCCGCACTTGATTCAGACTTCCAATTGCCGTGCACCCTGCTACAATTCAACATTTTCTTGCTGGGCTTCATTGAGCACAAACTATTTCGGCTACGGTAAAACTTTGGTGAATCTGCAGTCCTCGGAAACTGAATTCTTGCATGTTCTTGATCTTTTCAGGATCAGAATCAGAATAGAGCTGGAAGAGACCTTGGAGGTCTTCTAGTCCAACCCCTTGCTTAAGCAGGAGACCTTCTACCATTTCAGACAAGTGGCTGTCCTGTTTCTTCTTAAAAACCTCCAGTGATGGAGTGTCCAAACTTCTGGTGGCAAGCAGTTCCACTGGATAATTGTCCTCACTGTCAGGAAATTTTTCCTTAGTTCTAAAGTTGCTTCTCTCCTTGATTAGTTTCCATCCGTTGCTTCTTGTCCTGCCTTCAGGTGCTTTGGAGAATAGCTTGACTCCCTCTTCTTTGGGGCAGCCCCTCAAATATTGGAAGACTGCTATCATGTTACTAGTCCTTTTTATCAAGCTAGACCCAAATCCTGCAACCGTTCTTCATTGTTATTTTGAATCATAATAAACATGTCCAGAATTCTCGAATAAACGTTAGAGAAAGACCGTGTATTTTCCTGCACTATCAATATCCATTCTGGCCATCACATAATTTTACTATATTTAATGATATCAATCTTCTGAATTTCAGGGTGGTTTTTTTTATAACAATGAAAGGATTCAGGAAAGTAGACAACACATACTTTATGTGGCTGGTTTACCAACTTCTGCACTGAAATTACAGCCTAATATTTAAATGCAGGCTGTGTTACTCTTGGACCTTTTGAAGAGGTCAGATGCAATCCTGTGCATAATGATCATTTCTTGAGCACAAGGGTTGATGTAATGCCATAATTATATGGCGTGCCTTTTAAACTTTTGGCTTATTTTGAGCACAGCAGCCAATTTACAGACAGAATGAACACATCTAACAGATTGACATGGTCCTGATAGTCCTGATATTTAGTGTGTCATCTACTACACATCTCTCTGGCACTAAACCTTTGGCACTTTTATTTGGAACTAGCTCGATACTCGTGCTTCACTACAAAACTATGTGGCTGAGCTTAGTTTGGGGGGGAGGAAAATAAGGGGAAAAATTCTGCTTCTGCCTACCAGCATCCATCAGTATTCATCTGGCTAGCGTCTGTCAGTGTGTGAGAAAGTTGAGGGCTGTTTGGAAACTGAAGCAGTATTTGCTGTTTGAGCAAGAAGGAAACAGCAAGGAGCCTGGGCGTGGCTTAGCTCAACTGTACTAAAGCTGCTTGGTGCTCTGAAACTGAAATTCCTCTCTTCTGTTTGTGTTTTGCATTTGGAAGAGATTTCTTTTCAGGTGGGGAGGGGGACTAGAACTCCTTAGCATCAGAGCGTGTTAATAATAATAATATAGGAAATTAGAATGCTCTGATGGTCATTTCAAAAAACCCTTTCTTAGTGAGCACCTCGAAGCCAAGAGGAACATACAGGCCAAATTTCAAATTTGTAGGCTTTGCAGTTCTGGAGATTTTGTGATGATGCATGGTATTTCGCTTTTATATAGATAGATAGACGTGTGCAAAAATTGCAGCTTTGGTTTTCACTGCTTATCTTAAATTTACTCCTGGATTTCTGAATTCTATTCAAGCTAGAGTCAATAAATATTTGTTTTTGTGTTTCATTTTGCATTGCGTTATTGTGTATCAACAGTGCTGCATATTTGTGTCCATTCAACATGTAGGTTGTGTTTCAGAAGGATTGTTTTAAACTTGAATTGCAGTTCCAATTTCTGCACACTGCACTTGTGTGTTATTTAATTTGTTTGCAGTTGATGCTTAGGATAGCCTCACAGGACTGGAGAACAGAGAGGCTTTTATAAACATGTGGGAAATAATATCATTTCCCCACCTCTAAATAAACAAAATATGCTACCTGTTATGAAACCTGCTTTCTGGTTCCGTAATCCTATGACTGAGTGCACTTAAAATATTACTCAATAAACATTACAGATGAAACCTGAATGAGGCATTTTATTACACAACCATCATTTCTACAGCTTGCTGAAATTATAATAGCTGAAAATAATCAGAAGGTTATGCCTCCTAGTGGTTCAAAACACTCAGTTAAATTTTAAAAGACCCTTTTTATAAAAAAATAGATTTCATAAATCTGATTACGGCATTCTTGCTGAATCCTGCCTTTCGGTTTCATATAACGGAACTGTCGAGTTTAGAACACCAATTCCTGAATAAATCCATAAATACAATTGTAAATGAGATAGATGCCTTCCTTGAACAGATATAATAACCCGTTAGTATTGATTGTAACTAGAGTGGTGTGATAGCCTAGTGGTGAAGACACCTCACATTCAGAAGGTTGAGAGTTCAAACCTAGGATGGGTAGATATTTTTCTCTTAGGCCACAAAGAAAAAATACAGGTAGTCCTTGACTTATGACCATAATCGAGTCTAAAATTTCTGTTGTTAAGTGAAGATATTTGTTAAGTGAGTTTTGCCCCATTTTATGACTTTGCTTGTCCTGGTTGTTAAGCAAATCACTGCAATTCGTAAGTTAGTAACCTGGTTGTTAAGTGAATCTGGCTTCCCCATTGACTTTGCTTGTCAAAAGGTCGCAAAAAGGGATCACTTGATCCTGGGACACAGCCATAGTTGTGAGTATGAATCAGTTGCCAGTCCTCTGAATTTTAATCACATGATCGTGGGG